CTCCAGGTGCTCCTTTTACGTTAGATACCTCCCAGGTGCTCCTGATATAAGTTACATACCTCCCAGGTGCTCCTTATATGAATTAGATACCTCCAAGGTGCTCCTTATGTAAGTCAGATATCTCCTAGGGGCTCCTTATGTAAGTTAGAAACCTCCCTAGAGGTCCTTATGTAAATTAGAAACCTCGCAGGTGCTCCTTATATAAGTTAGATACCTTCCTGGTGCTCCTTATATAAGGTAGATACTTCCTAGGTGCTCCTTATATAAGTTAGATATCTCCCAGGTGCTCCTTATATAAATTAGATACCTCCCTGGTGCTCCTTATATAAGTTAGGTACCTCTCAGTTGTTCCTTATATAAGTCAGATATCTCCCAGGGGCTCCTTATATAAGTTAGATACCTCCCTAGTGCTCCTTATATAAATTAGAAACCTCCTTACTTTTAAGCGTAAGAAGCAAATCAGATTATTTTTGAGGTGCTCTTTAAATACCCTAGGAGCCTTACATACTTGATATACCCATCAAGCGCTCGGGAAGAAAACATTAACTGAGATATGTGAAGTAAACTAATATTGTACATTGTCTTCCCTTTGTCATCCATCGTCCCTCTTGTGACCACCAGTTAGTCAGTCAGTCATTGCTCCTTTTTAACTACTAGTCAGTCATAGTTCCTCTTGTGACTACTAGTCAGTCGTTGTTCCTCTTGTGACTACCAGTCAGATATTCATCACCGCTCTTGTAAAACAGTTAATCGTCACTATCGCATCACATGAATGATATACAATAGCGCAAGATGAAAATTAGACACATGTGCAACGTCTTCAGTAAATACGTATACCCAAATGCTGCTCATCTAAATGTTGCACATCCAAATGTTGCACATCCAAATGTTGCACATCCAAATGTTGCACATCCAAATGTTGCATAAATAGTCTTTAGTCACTTGGTTCAACCTCAGTAATCAATCACCTGTTTTAATCACATTCATCAATAACCTGTTATAAACAGTCATCAATTACCTTTCACAGTAACAGTCATCAGTCAGTTGTCAAATACCTCTATTAATAACCCGTCTTAACTACAACCATCATCCACCTGTCACAGCCAAGATAACCGTACCCCTCTTACCTCTACAAACATCAACCACCTAACACAACCACATTAATCAACCACCTGCTACAACTACAATCATTAACAGCCATTTGCCACCACAACTCTCAACCATGTGTCACAGCCACAGTCACCAACCACCTGCCACAGTCATAATTATCAACAACTTGTCCCCAACCATCACAAGCATTAACCACCTGTCACAGTCACTAACCTGTCACATTCCACCAACCACCTGCTACCATCACATCCATAACAGCTTGGTTGATAATTATGGTTGTGATACGTGACCTTTGGTCACGTGTCACAACCATAATTATCAACCAACTGTCTTATTCACAACCACCAACCACCTATCACCACTGAAATCCTGTACCACCTATCTCAACCACAATCATCAACAAATCTGTCTCAACTGCAATAGACAACACCTGTCACGCTCGTATCCAACAAACACCTGCACAACCATATCCAACAACCACCTGCACACCCATATCCAACAACCACCTGCACAACCATATCCAACAACCACCTGCACAACCATATCCAACAACCACCTGCCCAATCATAACCAACAGCCACCTGCCCAACCATATTCACCAACCACCTGCCCAACCATATCCAACAACCACCTGCCCAATCATAACCAACAGCCACTTGCCCAACCATATCCAACAACCACCTGCCCAACCATATCCAACAACCTCCTGCCCAACCATATCCAACAACCACCTGCCCAACCATATCCAACAACCACCTGCACAACCATATCCAACAACCACCTACACAACCATAACCAACAACCACCTGTACAACCATAACCAACAACTACCTACACAACCATATCCAACAACCACCTGCACAACCATATCCAACAACCACCTGCACAACCATAACCAACAACCACCTGCACAACCATAACCAACAACCTCCTGCACAGCCATAGCCAACAACCACCTGCACAACCATAACCAACAACCACCTGCACAACCATAACCAACAACCACCTGCACAACCATATCCAACAACCACCTGCACAACCATAACCAACAACCACCTACACAACCATAACCAACAACCACCTACACAACCATAACCAACAACCACCTGCACAACCATATCCAGCAACCACCTGCACAACCATAACCCAACAACCACCTACACAACCATAACCAACAACCACCTGCACAACCATAACCAACAACCACCTGCACAACCATAACCAACAACCACCTGCACAACCATAACCAACAACCACCTACACAACCATAACCAACAACCACCTGCACAACCATAACCAACAACCACCTACACAACCATAACCAACAACCACCTGCACAACCATAACCAACAACTGCTCTCATCAACCACAGTAATCATGTACCTGTTATCACCACACAGGTACGCTATCATGGAGAACATGCGCTATATGCTGTCTATCTACGATCCCAACTTCCCTATCTACTTTGGCTCAAGATTTAAGATGTTCAGCAAACAAGGTTACATGAGCGGAGGTAAGTGAGAAACAGTGAGAGACAGTAAATAAGTGACTGATAAATTAGATACTTGTGCAACACTGAGGTATCTTTACTCTGGACACGTTTCGCCAACCATTGGCTTCCTCAGTCCAACTGAGGAAGAATGGTTGAAAAATCAGAATGAGTTTGAAGTAATCAGTTTCTGAGCGTGGAGTCGATGTGCTCAGTCCATCAATCCTTCTGATCTTCAACTATTCTTCTCTGTATTGGACTGAGGAAGCCTCTGGTTGGCTGAATGTTCCACAGTAAAGATATCCAAGTGTCGCACAGTTGTCTAATTCACCTTCTGTCTGTTCTCTGAACCATTTGTCTACAAATAAGAGACTGTAAGTAATCCACTAAAGGTAAGAGACAGCGGAGAGGCGGTAGGTGGGAGATTTTAGTGACAAACAGTAAATGAGAGACTGGAGGTAAGATTATGTTTGCGAGACTTTGTGAGATAATTTAGGTAAAATACTATACGTAAGAGATAACAGATGAGAAACTGAAGGTGAAAAACTATTAGTGAGAGACAGTAAATGAGAGACACAGGTGAAACTGTAGGATACTGTATATGAGGGAAAGTGAGTGAGAGACAGTAGATGAGAAACAATTGGTGAGAAACTATATGTGAGAGACTTTAAATGAGAGATTCAGATTAGACTGTATATAAGGGACAAAAATGAGAAACAAGTGAGAAACAGCAGATGAAAAACTGCAACAGAGAGACTGTAGATGAGAGACTGTAAGCGAATCTGTTACTGAGATACTGTTATTGAGAGACTATAGATGAGAGAATGTTAGAGGCCATAAGTGAGTTACTGTATGAGAGGGACAGCAAAGGAATGATTATAAGTGAGAGACTGTAGGTGAGAGATTATAGATGAGACACTATAGGCGAGATATTACAGGTGAAAGACTGTTAATTAGAGACTGTGATAAACTCTAGGTGAGAGACTATAGGTGTGAGACCGTAGTTGAGAAATATGTGAGTGACCATAGATGAGGAATTGTAGACTTTAGAGACAGTGAGAGACTATGAGAAATTGTTGGCGGTAGACTGTAGGTGAGAGATTGTAAGTGAAAGACTGTAGGTGAGACAGGAAGGTGAGAGATTATAGATGAGAAACCTTGAATCCCTGTAGGTAAAAGATTGTCAGTAAGAGACTGTAGCTGAGACATTAGGTGCGACTATTTAAGAGAGACGGCACATTTTAGTTTGTTTTGAATGTGTTACTGAAGTTTTTCAGGTGACATGCAGATGTGATACTTTCTTCGTGATGCTTCACTTTGTTATGACTGCAGCCTCACACCTCCCTGGTTGTATTCCCTCTCCGGTTTTCTCACTCCCTCTAATATTATTGTTATTTTACATATATAAATTGAATTAGCTACTTCCTAATCGCGTTTGAAGACAGCTCAAGTCACTGAAATGCCCTTCGGTTATCTTCCTTATAAATTTAGTTTCATTTGCAGATTAAGTATATATCATAAGAAGCAGGGATCGAAGCACTGATCCTTGGGCACTTCTTTCTCCATGCATTCCGAAACCTCGTTTTAGCCCTAGTTTCTTGAGTAATGGGGAGAACAGAACCCTTTAAGGATCCAGCAATGGCTTATGTTTGATACTATGTCTTCCTACTGATAACTCAGTCTTTCGAGGCCAGTGCTTCCTCTGGTAATGTGCTGCCCTGTCTCTACTATCCCAATGACAGAGATAACAGGGAAACTTGGTAAAACCTTTTTGGATTCCCATAAAAAATGCCACCATTTTTGATGGGAATAACCTCCCAGCCATACTTATCATAGTTCAAAGCTTCCAGTAGAAGCGTGACACTGTTGTAGTCCTTAAGATGCACTGAATGAGCCAAGGGAAGAGATAGATATATGTTCACATTGTGCAGAAGTACAACTTTTATGTTTCTGGAGGAGCTGTCAATGAAGAGTCTCCACTCAACTGGATTGCATGCAATTCCAATTGCATCAAACAGGCCTGATACATCATTTCAGTAACACAACCTGTCTTCATTAGTGAAGAAGCTTGAGAAATGTTGGTGACGTTTTCTTTGGCTTGTCACTTGCACACTTTTATCCACCAAATCCCACTCCTTGAGCCTTGAAATCAAATGCTCAGCATTTGACTTTGTCAAACCAAGATCTCTGATAAGGTCATTGAGATCTGTTTGGTTTGGGTAGTAAGGAGTCCTCCCAACAGCTGCATCTGTGAGATCATAGTCTTGTTCACTAGGCTCTTCTTTTCTGATTTGCTGCTTTCTTCTTCTGACGGTTGACTTCTTTCTGGAGGTGTAGGTACAGGAAGATCAGCACTGTGTGGTACTGGTGCAATAGTAGAGGGAAGGTCTGGATAAGAAATAGCAGATGCATTTTTCCCAGTTCGGTGTTTGGAAGGATCCACCAGGCAGAAGTAACAGTTGGTTAAGTGATCAGTGGGTTCACATCATATTCTCAGAACAGCAAGCTTCATGGCTCTTTTTTCTCCTCTATACCATCCTGTAAAATTTTCTGTTCAATACATTTCATTTAAAAAATGTTCCTATTCAAGATTTTACCCTTCATTTAACTAATGACCTTCTTACCTTCCAATGTTTTCTTACAATATTCACCAGCAACATGAGGCGCCCAGGTCTTGTCGTGGTCCACAACTGATATGACAAAATATGCTTTGTAAGCTTCACACATTTTTTAGATGCTGTTACAAAGAACTTCTTTGTTCTTGTCTTAATGAATTGACCACATATGTAGCAGAATGTATCTGGAGAATGACTGCAGCTTCTTGATGCCATTTCACTTCTTCTGATGTGTCTTCTCAGGCAGCCAGAGCTGAACTGAATGATGGTTTGTGAGTCCCTGTTTTTATATTTGTCAAGCAAAACCCTAGAACATAAGTTTTACATCAGTCTTTCTTGAAAGTGTTTCAGAAGTGTCCTGACCACAAAAGCAAAGTTTTGGGACCAAAATTGCTTTTTTAAATTTCTTGTAGTTACAAAGAACTGGGAAATGATACTTATTTCCCAGGAACACAACAAAAGTGAAATTTTGTTTCGTAGTGTAATTCATCTTCATATTTATGTAAATCGTTTTGACAAGTGAACTGTAACAATGACTGTACGATATCTTAATGAACAACTTTTTTTATTTAAATAATTACAGATAATAATATTTTTCACGTCTCTTTCTCCAACTACCTTTTTCTAATGTCTGTCTGTATATCTGTCTTTCTTCCTCACTTTTGCTACTAACTTCACTCTCTCCTTCACTCACGTACTCCATCCTTCACTCTCGTACTCCATCCTCCACTCTCGTACTTTCTCCTCCAATCTCGTACTCCATCCTCCTCTCTCGTACTCCATCCTCCACTTTCGTACTCCCTCCTTCACTCTCGTACTCCCTCCTCCACTCTCGAACTCCCTCCTTCACTCTTTCACTTTGGTTTTCACTCTCATTATACCTTCACTCTCTCTCTCACTGTTTCACACTGTTCATCGCCTTCTCACTCCCCATTACTCTCTCTCACTGCTTCATTATTCTACCTCTCCTTCTTGTGCTATTCAATTTCTTCTCTCCTCCCCTCCATCCATCAAACAATCCCTCTCTATCCTCCTCCTTCCTTGCCTTCCTCCTCGGCTGGGTGCAGGGGGAGGCTACGTACTCAGCAGGGAGGCAGTGAAGCAGTTCGTAGAGAAGGCTCTTCCCAACGACACTCTTTGTAAGCGTGACGACACCGGCGCTGAGGACGCCGAAATGGGTGAGTATACATGAGAGTACAGAAAAGAATGCAGTGAATACTGGTAGACCTTGTTGTTTGTGGGAATGTTGGAAGTTTTATGTTCGTAGGTACCCACGGGCGTACATAGGTGTACATACGAGAGCGTAGGATATGTGGAAGACTGAAGTACACATGGGTACTCATGTGCATTCACTTAGGTACATGAGAGACATATGCATATACTAGATCCAGTGTAGTGTACATAGATGTACACGGTAGCAAATAAATGTACATGATGAAATTAGTGTTAATACGAGAATATTTGTATACATAGGAGCGCAAGTGAAACAAAACGGGTACTGGGAGAATACTAGATATTCACTCAGGTGAGTTAGGCGTGGAAGCTACAATAACGAATTCTCAAACCAGTTTCTTACATCAACTGGAAATGTTAGTTGAAACCTCTAACTCTGATTCAACTGGAAATGTTAGCGGACACCTCTAAGTCTGATTCAACTGGAAATGTTAGCGGAAACCTCTAACTCTGATTCAACTGGAAATGTTAGGAGAAACCTCTAACTCTGATTCAGCTGGAAATGTTAGCGGTAACCTTTAACTCTGGTTCAACTGGAAATGTTAGGGGTAACCTCTAACTCTGATTCAACTGGAAGTGTTAGCGGTAACCTCTAACTCTGATTCAACTGGAAATGTTAGCGGTAACCTCTAACTCTGATTCAACTGGAAGTGTTAGCGGTAACCTCTAACTCTGATTCAACTGGAAGTGTTAGCGGAAACCTCTAACTCTGATTCAACTGGAAATGTTAGCGGAAACCTCTAACTCTGATTCAACTGGAAATGTTAGCGGAAACCTCTAATTCTGATTCAACTGGAAATTTATGCTGACAACAGCACCTGATAAATCAACGAATGTCACATTCTGGTTCCTGTCCCACACAGTAATAATTCTGTACCAAAATAGCAATTATCTGTTGTTACAATTTAGAGGAGTTTGGACAAACTGAAGTAAGACGTAATAATCTACGTCCACTCTTGTGTCCTGGGTATTAAGGCTACTGAACAAATTCCTACACCAGCTCCTGATCATTTGCATACAGGCTTGAGTGTAGTTTGCAAGAGTTAGTGCAGTGTTTATGTCTGCATAGGTAAGCTCTGTGTACATGGTTGTACATGAGTACATGGGTGAGTGAAGCGCACATAGAGAAACTTGGTACTAAATTGGCGACACCAAAATACGGTGCTGTACATGAGAGTATGTAAGTGACTGCAGTGTACATGGTAGAGTGCAGTGCACACGATTATACACTGCAGTATGAGACTGTACACAGCACAAGAGTGTGCATTGATCATAGCTATACATATCGGTATATTATTAAATGCAGTACACATGGGATTATAGCCAGATTCATTGTGGTTATTACCCAAAGTCCGACAGGGTTAAAAGTACCGTAATAACAATTTACAACTAACCAAGGGTCAAATAAAGAAAAAAATTCTGACTCCTGATATATGAGAAGACTTTCAGTTGGTATTGTCTTAAAAGGTCAAAGGCAGTGAATTTTACACAAGCACAGTGTACATGGTGGTACAATGTAGTACAGTGTACATGGAGGTACAATGTAGTACAGTGTACATGGAGGTACAATGTAGTACAGTGTACATGGAGGTACAATGTAGTACAGTGTACATGGTGGTACAATGTAGTACAGTGTACATGGAGGTACAATGTAGTACAGTGTACATGGTGGTACAATGTAGTACAGTGTACATGGTGGTACAATGTAGTACAGTGTTCACGGTGGTACAATGTATTACAGTGTACATGGTGGTACAATGTAGCACAGTGTACATGGTGGTACAATGTAGTACAGTGTACATGTTGGTACAATGTAGTACAGTGTACATGGTGGTACAGTGTAGTACAGTGTACATGGTGGTACAATGTAGTACAGTGTACATGGTGGTACAATGTAGTACAGTGTACATGGTGGTACAGTGTAGTAGAGTGTACATGGTGGTACAATGTAGTACAATGTACATGGTGGTACAATGTAGTACAGTGTACATGGTGGTACAATGTAGTACAGTGAACATGGTGGTACAATGTAGTACAATGTACATGGTGGTACAATGTAGTACCGTGTACATGGTGGTACAATGTAGTACAGTGTACATGGTGGTACAATGTAGTACAGTGTACATGGTGGTACAATGTAGTACAGTGTACATGGTGGTACAATGTAGTACAGTGTACATGGTTGTACAATATAGTACAGTGAACATGGTGGCACAATGTACTACCGTGTACATGGTGGTACAATGTAGTATATGTGGTAGTGCAGTGAAAGTGGTGGTACAATGTAGTACAGTGTACATGGTGGTACAGTGAAGTATATGTGATAGTGCAGTGTACATGGTGGTCAGTGTACATGGTGGTACAATGAAGTATATGTGGTAGTGCAGTGTACATTGTGGTACAATGAAGCATATGTGGTGGTACAGTGTACATGGTGGTACAATGAAGTATATGTGGTATTGCAGTGTACATGGTGGTACAATGTAGTACAGTGTACATGGTGGTACAATGTAGTACAGTGTACATGGTGGTACAATGAGGCATATGTCTCTGATGCATTGCAGTGCCCTTCCTGTTATATGTGCCTGATCCTCTGGCTTTTGCACTAATCTTTTGTGAGAAATTGTGTCGCAAGCCTTCTTGTAGTCCAAGAAAATGCAATCTACCCACCCCTCTCTCTCGTGTCTTACATCCGTTACCTTGTCATAAAACTCCAGTAGGTTTGTGATATGCTGCAGGGCAGGAGATGAAGTGTACAAGTGTCTACTGGGCCCGGGAATGACATCATAACGACAATGTCCAAATTTTGCGAGAAAAGCATAGACAAGGTTTTGCCCCTGCCGCCGACAAGACGCTGTGAGTAGCTACTAACTCAGTAAGCCAGCGGGTGTCTCGAATGAGTCTGGATGATCGCTCTGTTCTCCTCCACCCCGGAAAACAAAGGCGCACTCTGCCGCTGAAAAAAAACCATTGCCACCATTGCTTTAATGTCTCCTGTGCTTAGTCTAGCCTTGAAATTTTTTGTTAGGCAGTGTAGGGTTAGGAGGAATACTGCTGATTGACTTGCTTCAGATTTATTGGATGCTCAAATGGGTTCACAATGGGCAGAGTGAGAGAAGGCCGAAAGCCAGTCCTCAAAGGGGAGCTGTTGGTCCTAGGCTAAGAGGCCATCAAGTGAGAGAGAAAAATGATGGGACAGGCTGAGCTAGTAGGCCTATGCCACCAGGTGTCAGCACAATAGTGCCCCAATTATGAACTCAACTGGACATGCATCATAGGTGTCTACGCTTAGTTTTTGCCTCCCTACACCTTTTAAGTAAACTAAGGGCTCATTTTGGTCTTTCCATTATTTCTGTTACCTTTGGGAAAAAAACTTTCTTCTGCATCTGCCTCCTTACATTTTGTTGTCACATAGTCCATCATTTCGTTTACTGACTTTCCTGCCAATTCTCCTTCCTACTCAACCTCCTGCAGGAAGTTCCTCATGCCTGTGTAGTCCCCCCCTGTTGTAATTTGGCTTCTCCCATTCTATTCCCAATACCCTCTACACTTGTAACTCTACTGTGAATTCAAAGCTCAGAACCACGTGATCACTAGATCTGAGGGACCTTTCATATGTGACGTCCTCAATGTCCGAGCTACTCAGGGTGAATACGAGGTCCAGTCTTGTTGGTTCATCCTTATCTCTCTTGTAATATCGCTAACATGTTGATGCATGAGGTTTTCCAGTACTACATCCATCATCTTGGCTCTCCATGTTTCAGGACCCCCATGTTGCTCCAGGTTTTCACAATCAGTCTCCTTGTGACTGAAATCGCCCATGACTAGTAGCTTTGCTCTACCAGGGTGAGCTCTTCTGGCTACGTCAGCTAGTGTGTCCACCATTGCTGTTGCTCTCCTCATATTCTTCTCTTGGCCTCCTGCAGATCTGTGGCTGGTTATACATCACTGCAATGACTACCTCATGTCTCCCAGACTGAATTGTGCTTACTATGCAGTCCCTTTCGCCCACATCGTCCATTTCTTCCATTTCCTCGAATCCCCATCGGCTTTTAATGAGCAGTGCAACTTCTTCCCGCCCCTCTCTGCTCCCTCTGTCTTTCCTCAGGATCAGATATCCAGGTGGGAAGATTGTATCTGTTATCATCCCAATGAGTTTCATTTCTGTGACTGCTATGATGTCTGGGGATATCTCCTTGATTCTTTCAGGCCACTCCTTACATTAGTTTGTTATTCCATCCACATTCAACCTTCAACTTCTTTTCTAAACTTTATTCTGGGGAGAACGTTGGGGCTGGGGGAGTGGAAGACCTGCTGGGGAACTATGGGGGGTTGCTGAGGGGGTGGAATTTGTGATGAGAGGGTGGGGACAGAGAGTACAGTGCATGGGTTTTGGGTTAGATTGTTTGCATTGGGGTTGTTGTGGCTGAGGTCCTACTGTGGGTGGTTCTGAGGGAAGTTGTATTTGCTCCTCTTCCTGAGTCTGGGTTCTCCTGCTCATCTCCATCTTTGCCTCTCATTCCTCTTTGCATCTTTGTACCTTCTCTTTCAGTTTCTGCCTTTCTTCTTGTGTTCTCTCATGGTCGAGGTACACCCTCTGGCACTTCAGTATGTCCCATAGCCAAGCTTTCTCTTGCAGGATCCTGTTGCGAGCTCATTCTGCCTTGAAAATCACTTGGACTGATCGGTTTTTTCCTCGTGCAAACCACCCTATTCTGTGAAAATTTGCCAAGTGGGTCATGTCGTCCACTCCTAATGCTTTCATGATACTTTCAATCACTTCTTTCTTCTGCTTTTTGGCTTCATAAGTTTCCCCTTCAAATTCCTGGAGCCCATAAACAAAAACTGACCTCTCCCTTTCGTCTTACCACTGCATTTTCCTTAGCATCCTCTGAGATGATTTAGTTGCCTCCATTGCAGTGTTCCTTCCTTCAATTTCTTCCAT